TGGCATGACCACAAAAAATTAGCCGAAACATTTTTGTTTTAATTTGGCCTGTATTTACAGAAAGTGTGGTGAAATTGTAAAAATTGTATGTATAGAATATTATTTCATATATCTTGTTTTAAAATTAAGTAGGTTATGTTGAAAATAAAGAAAATGTTATTTTTATTATATTCTAGTTTCGAGTGCTAGAGTCTATTATCAGATATATAGTCGGAGACTCAACTGGTCTCAACTGGTATCACATAAATTCATTTACGAGTAATTCTTACACGTTCTACTAGAACATTACCTTTTACTTTATCGCCGCATAAAAGAAACGCTACTGCGCTGATGCCATTATTTTGATAATAAATGTACTACTGGCGACAAATCAGAACATAATCGTGTGTGTTTACCAGTACGTCAATATTTTTATATTTAGAAGCAAGAGCTATTAAATTTTTGCATTGTATTTGATTTTTGAAATTTGTACAAATAAATAAAAGGTGTGATGTTGACCATTTAACAATAAGTTTGTTTCATTAACTTCATTAAAATATCAAACCTGATTATTAGTCAGTTTTTTAAGATTATTTAAGTTTCTTATTACTTATGTTCTTGTTAAAATCTTCAATGAAACAAATTTCTATTTTTTTTTTTCTTACTTTTGAAAAATTAGCATTATATTGATAATTTTATATAAATGAACGTGAATGTACGTTGTGGTATATTTTACAAAATGAAAATTTTCTAAATTTATGTGCAAACCAATTTCCATTTGACAACTTTTCAATATGAGCTAAATAGCTATGATTATGTGCTAGTATCAAAAATCATTGTGGTTCAGTTTAAACAGTATTACAACTTGTAACTGAAAGCTGAACCCGCAATGGTTTTTGTCAATACATTGGTTTTTAGCAACTAACCGCATGTCACTGCAATAGACATCCAACACCAATACAATCCAGAGTGCAATTGATGTTTGTTAAATTGTAGCTGCGTAAATTTATACGTAAAACCACATTTATATTAGTTCTTTGAATATATTATGACATAAGCTCTAAACTGAGCTTAAAACAATTTTTATAACTAGTATTAAACTGGTAATAGTAATTTATACAAATAATTTATTTATCCACATGCTTTATTATTCTTTCCATTTCAACCTTTAGAGCACCTTTCTTATTAAATTCAATAATAGCGCTAACGCCAACACAACAAAACAACATCAGCTGCTGATGACTAAATTGCATGATACGATTATTTACGTTGCCCACGTTTAGAATAGTTTACCTCTGCTTCCTCATCAATCTATCATCAAGTTGTACGGGTAAGGCTGGTGAGCAGCACGGTTCTGTTGTTTTACCTTCTCATTTATCGTAAATACCGTAATTACTTATATCGATGAATATTTTTATGCACATGAAGACTATACCAATGACATGGCTTTAAAATTCAATACAAACATGTTTACTTAATGGAACCTAAGTTTATTAAAATGATATCTTAAAGGATATACCAATTTAATCCAAAGCATTTTAATTGAAACATTGGATTATTATTTAGTGGTAGTAAAATATTCTAAACTCCAAAATTCCCGTAAAAATATTCTGTTCATCATATAATTTAATGTATAATATTGATTAACATATATTTTAATTAGTTTACAAGTCATTAATTAATAACTACACTATCCAAACACTCTATTTCAACTAATCTCAAACGTGAGAAAAAACAATATTTTAGAATAAGGTCAGATATATTAAATGACAACATGAATAATTAAAAAAAGATAAAAGTGATAGGGTTATTTGTTTTGCATGCATGTTGTTAGCTAGATATTACGCCGTTTTAATTTAAAAGTGACATTTTCATATAACGCAATCAGGAAAATGCAGGTAAACACGTATTCCTACAGCAACACGAATGTAATGCGACCTAATTTCGTGTTGATAAATCCGATTTGTGGCTTATTATGCAGCGCAGCATATACAGTCGCACAAGAGCAACACAAACAGCGTAAATAATTAATAAACTATATGTGTATGTGTTGCTCCAGCATTTTATAATAACCACCTGACACAACCAACTAAAACCAAATCAAATAATTCGTAAATATAATATTTAATTGATTATATTTGCATTATCGCGTAGAAGGCTTTCATTAGAGATTTTCATTAAATATTATCGATTTCTGATATTCTGGGATGTCAGCAAAATTTGTTTTTCATCTTTAATAATTCAGCACGGAGTTGAATTGGACTTCGATCCGGATTGGTGGGAACTTTCTTGCTGTTAAATTTCCTTATCGTGTGTTTCCACGTTTCCGGTGTGCGGCCGTTTGGTGCATTTTTGCATTTTAAGCGAAACCTTATTTCCGATCAATGGAAATTTTATCAATATTTCAATATTGCAATTAAAATAGCTTAATTTATCAATTTTGTTAATTTATTTTTTAATGCAAAACAATTTTTCAATAAACTTACACATAATTCACACATAATTCATAGTTAAAAATACTCTTATTAACGATATTAATTAATGTTTTAATTTAAATTGATATTACAAAGCAATTAATTTAAATTGCAGACAAATTCGACATCTAATTAATACGTGCGTGTGGTTTTGGCTCAGGATGATTTCTTTCGCTAATTAGAAATTGAACCAACAAATTCTCGCCGTTCGGGTGCCGACAACGGTAAAAGACAATAGCCGTTGTGAAATTACATGCCACACCGGTGCGGCTAATTTTACAGAGGATCGCGTGGGTAGTGTTATCCTGAGTTTTGGGATGGTTTGGAGAGATGGAAAGAGCGATGAGCCTAATATTCGACGAAAAAGCGCGTTGTGGTACATTCGTGTTTGTCCCAAATTCGAATAACCAAAATATTAGAAATAATTTTACATAGGCATCTATGTACTCGTATATACTCGTAATGTCAATTAGGGTTTTGGACGCCCGATCAAATGCCAATATTTTACAGCAGGATTCGTATTGCTCGGAATAAAAAAAATACACGAAACATATATCAGTAACTTTATATGTGAGCAAGAAAACATGATTAAAGTAAAAGTCTGAGATAAAATTAAATTTTCTACAAAACGATATTCAATATTCACTGCACATCATATATAAAACAAAAGTTAAACCAGTTAATTTTGCGCAATCTTTATTTAATTCTTTCTAGGAATACATTTTATGCTTATATATACATTTTCAAATGTAAAATAGTACACACAACACATAAAGATAATACTTCACAGAATTTATTTTTCGACATGTTTAATTAGAATTGCGTTCTGCGAATGAAATAAAACGACCAATTAAAATGTTACAAATGAAAGCATTTAAATATTATGTTGGAATTCCGAGTAATCTAAATAACTTTGATCGTTATTTCATATAGGAGCTTGTTTGGAGGTTTTTATAGTTTGTCAGTATTCGGAATTTTCTTGTTTCCCAGCTTTGTGCGCGCCATCCATTTCCAATAACTCACTACGGCAACGTTGCACGTGCGCCAGTGGTAAACATACAAGCGTTAGAGGATACGTGACGGGACTTTGTTTGACATTAATCAACGTTTCTTATGTAATTTTCTAGCCCACGTAGAAGGACCCAATACATTACCAGAATTACGTTATAATAAACTAAAAAGAAGTAGACTCAAAATAAATTTGAAATTATTATTATTAACAATATGGCAACAAAGAAAACAAATAATATAATTATTGAGGTTGGTAGAAAAAACAACCATCAGTTTTCAATCATAATAAAAAATTCTTTTGTGGTTATTATGATAACGTAATCTGTTTTAACATGGATTTCAATTAATTTTAGTACTGATACAAAAATAGCTAATTTATATTTCTTCAAAAATCGGCATTTAATTTGCAATTAAATTGGGTTGAAAATGGATCTATATCCGTATTATTTGAAGAATTGAGGGGCAATATGTTTAGTACAAAATCCTAATTTAATTGTTTGTAATTGTTTGATGATAAATTAATTCCTTGTTGATATAAAGATAACATTTGATAAACAAATTATCGTTTTCATCAAAATAATCCTAAGTAATTAGTAAAATCGCCATTCAGAGTTTATATATAGAATATAATGCCTAAATAATCAAAAAAATCTAAAAATAATGTCCAACCTTTTATGAAAACCAACCATTGATAATATAACACAATAAAAAAACATTTTGAAGTATCAATTGTCCGTAATTTTGGTGCTAAACGTTAACATTCACATCCACCACGCACAAAACCGATGGAATCATTATTGCCGGCATTTAATTGAGACATTTATTTTACGTTCGTTTCGTGTCGAGGAAGTACGCCATTAATTATTCATCTTGATGGATGTGTGCGGTGTGTTGTGATTTAAGTGACCTAAATATTTCAATACTTCATATTGTCATCAAGGGCCGACGCAACACGCTCGCAATACTCTGACGACACTTCTTGCCGTTGCAAACAACGATAAACAGCGATTTTAATTAATTGTCTCGAATTGATGCGGCGTTTCCCGATCCCTAACGAAGCGATAAACTTACGACTTACAACTTAACGCTCAGCTTGATTAATGAAGCTTATGTTCGCACGCGGATAACTAACGACTTAATTATAAAAACAAAAAATTAAAAAAACGTTATGCCGCGAGATGCAGTTAGAGTCAAGTGATATACGTCTTGCTAGAGTAGCGCGCATGTCTTGTAAATTATTCGATAATAAACTTTGCTTTATCAACAATTTGATAAGCCCGCCGTGGCTAATGGCGTGGCCATAAACTTTCCGCACTACGGCATTTATTGTCTGGTTTATCATCTAGATGCAGTGCTTGCTCTAGGAGGCACTGCTGAATTTTGATTATCATTATGTTGCTGCAGGAGCGGATCTAGTTAGGATCCCACTTGAATTACATATCATAATTTTATTCGTGGATAAATTACACGTTGAGTATATAATCAACATCCTCATGTTCTAGTGGAGATTGTTAGTAAAAAATATGATGCACTTACGTATATCAAACGAGCTGATTAGGGGCAGCCAAAACACGATTGCTATGCAGAGTGGCCGCCAATTGTGTTGCTTCATCTTCGTGATGTTGAGATTCCCGAGCGCATTCAAACTTGCCGAGCTGAATTCTTCACATGAATCAAATTTCTGCAAACAAGAAAATGCATGATTACTATCTAGATTTCCGTAAATGTAAAAAATTCCATTCATTCACTTGCATTCGTTTTTTTTCAGTAAGCACTTCCGAAGAAGCAATACAAATAAAATTTATTTGCATCGGTGCGTGTATGTACTCAAGTTTAAAAAGCTCTTATCTAATGGAACGTTGCCAAGTAGAAATTAATCGTTTTTTGCCCAAACCGAACGTACACGGCGTTGAATACTTGCAAAAAAAAAACATTCGAGATTGTGCATTTGAAAAGGCCTGCTCTCCCTCATTCTTCGTTTCCCTTTGCCATTCCTCTTGCATTTTTTCGACTTTTTTCCGTTGCGGCCTCTATTCTCTTGCGTGTTTTTCAATTCCTTTTTTTGTTTTCCATTTCCATTCTCTTGCGCTCGATCGCGGTGCGCCGGAGACGCCGGCAGGAGCACATTCGTTTCCATTTGGACTTCGCACGTTCAGGCCAGGTTCCCACATTGGGCTGAACTCGCATTTTGCCAGAAGCGCACATTGAGGTCGCGTTTATATGCCGCGCGTACGAAAACCTAACAATGTTCGACTTGACCCGGATTACCACCGAGAGAAACCCACGATCGTTTTATGCGTGGAACGGAAGGGTTGCTCGGTATCAATGTCATCTTGGCTTATTCAGGTTTCAATGATTTTTTGACCCATAGGGGAGTTTTTTTAACAAATCAAATTAAATTTCATATTTTTTGTTTACCCAAACCTTCAGCAGGTACTTGTGTCTCAAGTTCTGATCAATAGCAAATTTCAAAAGAGGAAATAATAGTTCCTTACATCTAAGAAGGTTTAGTTATCTATATTGACCCTCCTGTGTATTCCTGTACCGTCTAGTAGTAGAGTTTGTAGACTTTCCGTAAATTACATTATTGTCTTGTGAAGCATTTGTGTTCAGACATAAACAAAGCCGTGTTTGGTAGGCGCGTGTATGGTTTCGGGCGCTTAGCGACTATCGGCGTCGCCGTAAGGAACAGGTACGTCTTGGCATCCGGAGGGATTTGGTTCTCGCTGGTGTAATAATATTAGGAATATTAGGCAATTATCGCTATAACCCTCTGGAGATTTTGTGGCCGCGACTTGGCAATGCCATTGTTCCACTAATTACGCGCACGCGAATTGCGAACGCGAATATCTCGCAATATTCCGGCCGAGTTCATTGTTGTATACGGCTGGGGAGAGACCGCGCTGCCCCCTGTGTCGCATCTGCGAACATATCTGCGCAAACTATTATAATTTACGATCGCTTGTTATCGATCATGTGGAAACACCCAACGCTAAATATTTTAGCTTTATGGTATGCAAACAGTGCTTCATTTATAATTGTTTGCATTGAAAAATATTTCATGCATTCTGTATGTAAGTTATTTTAATATCAAAAAACATGTACGACGGAATTTCTTTGTTAAAAAAAATTGAAAAAATGAAATATTTATCAGAACTATGATAGGGGTCAATTTTAAAATATCAAATATTATTATTATGCAAGTGTCATCTTATAAAAGTAGACTTAACTCTTAACTTTTGTACCCAACAAAAACAAACATTTTTCTTTTTTCCAAAGCAAGCACCTGAAAGTATTACATTTACATGCACTTTTCAGCTTCGTTTCGTATCGTTTGTGCATTCTGAATGCATACTCTTTTTCGCATTATACAGGTTTTTGTTGCTTTTTTGTGCGCTGGCAATATTCGACATTTTCTTCTTTTATGCTAGCTTAATGCAGACAGGGGAGACAGGGGTATTAAGTATGAATAGGAGTGTCTGCGCCGGAAGTGGCTACGTACAAATCTTCACGGGGATGTAAGTATAGATTGTTGAATATCCAAATGCATTATGCACGCTTTTCGAAATCACATCAACGATTTGGCGCAAACCTGTGGATGTTGTGACGGGTGCTTGCGCCGCCAGACAGCGGCGGTGGCGGCGACGTCGCCAGTGTAAAGCGGCTCCATTAATTTTCCCCTCTTTCTGCTGACATATAATATGAAATCGTAACAAAAATATCTCTTTGAGTTTGATATCAGTATAGAAAAGTGTGTAAACTACATTATATGCATTGATATAGAGAGTGTTTCAATGGTACATATTAAAAAATCAGAAATTTACTGTCTTACAACTTATTCAAGACACTATTTTTTTTGCAAAAATTTTAAATCATCTTGTAAAAGTTTAAGTTAAACCAAGATGAAAGTACTTATATATTCTTTTTATAGTTTATAGAAAAAAAGATTAAACTGCAAGCGGCGAAGACATAAAAGCAATATATCTAAACGTTATATGACGACCATGGAACTGAATGGCAGGTCGACGAAGAAGCAAAAGCCGTGGCAGCGTCAGCAGCGATGAGACCGAAAGTAAAACGCACACCTGGCCAAAAGAGCGCGGCCATAATCCTCCACATTACACTTTCCTCCTCAACCTGATGCCCTGCCGCCCTTATGGCATGCCGTGCTCTTCGACGCCCGATTTCAATGTGCAGCGTGCACTCGCCGTCGTTTCAGGCATGCCGAATACAGCGTGAAAAGCATTTTCAAATTTTGCCCGTCAATGCTTTGTCGTAGCTCGTAGCTAGTCATAAGCTTCAAGTGAGTCACGTGTTCAATAAAACGAAATGATTTTTCAAGCGGTGAAATTTCATTGTTCAAAAAATTTATTCGTCTGTGTGGTTTATTTTTGGAGCTGGCACAATAACGGTTTATGTTTTGAATACGCATAGTCTGGCAAGGAAAATCTGTTGTTCGGAATGAAAAGCAGTCCATGTTGGGCGATGGGTAAATGTTATGATAGTGCACACCGGCCGCAGAATTGAGATAATACCATCCGCAGGCGGTGTAGTGGGAAATTCACTTAGCCGGCAAACAAAAAGGGAGCTTCTTCCCCATGCAATGACGTGTCGGGGTAGCTTTCCTTAATGCAATCTATCCGGCTGACTTTCTTGGCATAGCATGCAGATGCATTGGATTTGTAGTCATAACACCAGAAGTTCTGTCACGTACTTTTTTATTGTGTTGCGAAATATATTCCGATCTTGTTTTGTCTCGGAACTTGTTTGGTATTCATCCTATTTTTCTTCATATGAATTTTCTTGGTTGTAGCACGCCGCCATATTGAATAATCTCGCAAATCTGATTTAAATATACCAATTTAAAGTTTGCAACTCTCGAAGGTGTTGCTCGTGTGATGAGTAAAGTGAAAGTTAAGGTTATAAGCTGATAAAACAATCGGCGGGTCTCACACTGCAGCTCTACATGTGCACTCATGATGCAAAGTGGAGTGTGCGGAAAAGCGCCGCCGCATTTCCGTTCGGATCGCTATACGCGTCGGGCGACGGTGTTAAGTTAACACCGCGGTTTGTTGCCTCCTCCAAGCCTCTGCCGTTGCTCCTGCTATATTCCATTAAACCAATTTTCCTTGCACCGCTGCTCTGGACTTTCGCCACTTCGCCACTTTCAACTTTGCGCCAAATTTCCCGCGCACGAGAACTTCAAACACATGTTTTTCCCACGACCTTCTCACAGACGCGCAGCGGCGGCGTGGGCACGTTCCGGCGGAAATGCACTAATTCGTAAAGTAGCCGGACTTAAATTCCAACTCGCAGCGAAATAACCGTTGCGGAAGCACGTTCTCGGACGCTGCTAAAATGCATAGCGTACTTAGTTAAGTTAGTTGCGCTGGTTTTGTGCAATTTTAACTCTTACGCCCATCGCGTTTCAATAACTTTCGTACATTTAGTGCAAAGTTGCGCTATTGAAGGAGAGAAATTCAATGAGTGTGCCCAGGAAGCGGTAATTCCAAAGGGAAATATTAATGATATTATTAATTACCGGGCAATTATATTGAGAAGGCTCACACCGGCGAGGCCATGATTAAGGAGATGAAAGCATGAATATTAATTTTCATTACCGGAAGGTGTACTCATATACTAGCACCCGTGTGCCGCGTGCGACTCGACCCAGAATAAAGGAAAACGGATAAGAATGATAGAGTACGTACATCAGGTTGCCTCTATGCCTAGGCTCTTCTTCCACTCTTAGCTCATGAACTATTTATCGAGTTAAATTATTTCCATGTCTGCCTTTCTGCATCATTATAAGTAAGTACTAGATCATAGAAATGCGAAGGGATAATTTTTATGTTTTGGAATTGACGAGTAGAATTATAGACTAAATCTTTGCACTTTAAAACAATCAATTTGCTGTGGTTTTGATGTAATTTGTGCTTTTATACGATTTGAATTTAAGTGATTTCTTCATTATCAGTCCGCGCTTGTAGCCGATAAACAAACGCACTATAAATTTCAAACGTAATTTACGCACGCCACACAGTGTAATTTGTGTAAATTTCATGGCTAAATTCGGAGCGTATTATTCAGTGTTTAGCCACCTCAGCGAAGCGTATTTATCCACGGGCATTACATTTGTAAAATTCGGACCGTACCGCATTGCAAACGCAGGACCAACGCATTGAATTGCGTTTCGTTCGGTGGGCGCGCGCACAAAAAGCGAAATAAAGTAAATGAGCGTTCGTTAACGAGCGACAAATAAATAAAATTAATTAAACTAATGCATTGTGCGTGTACCGTAATTAAAACCGACGCACTAATAATACGAAATCGAGCATCGTTTCGTTAAACGCAAACACCGCGTTGTACCGTTGGTAGCGCTTTGGTTACGCATTGCCTTTTTGACCGGCAGGACCCTAATACTTTTCGAGGAGGGTAATATTCATAGGAATTAGAATCGGTGGCGAGCATAACGCGTACCTAATTACCTGACCTCTCGAAGGGTGGACCCGTTCTATTTTGTTTTAATTTACTCCGACGGGAAAAACTAAAGAAAAAGAAAAGTGTACAGTTAAGTTTGGAGTAGGTTTTACCATAATTGGTATTATGTTCGCTCATTATATTCCCATCATTAATCTATACCCAAATCTACAATGCAATACAATCAACATGCACTATATA